AAGAGTGTATTCTTGCGTACGTCTACTAAAGCATATTCAGATATTAAAATTGAACGAAGTTCAAAAGTTTGAGTATGATCAGGGGTTCAGCTCATATAAAATCCCAATCAAACTTTTCTTTTACTAGTGCAGTGGAATTGTGACATGGATGGCATGTGTGAGGCCATTACAATGCCACCATTTGCACGTAAAAGTGAGCTCAGATTTTAATAGAGCAGAGATTCGTGAAACTTTAATCCCTTATCCCATCTTTTAATGTCTCGTTGCAATACACATGACGTTAAATCTGGGTGTGACCGGATTGTGGAGTATCTTTATAATTTGTCTTCTGCATAAAGTTCCCACGTGACGGGTTAAACTGTTTCGTGAATGGTCGAAACACTATTTTTCTTCATGGTAATGAAACGGTCCAGCAGCATTAAGCCATTTACTTAAAAAGTTTCTCAAATTTTCTGAGACCAGGAAAATAATATTAGAAAAAAAAATTGTCTATATTAAAAAAAAATGGTGTGTTCTTCTTAGTTTAAACTCGTAACGTTTTGAAATTCTAATTAACATCTACTCCAATGAAAAAAAATCGCGCGGAAAAATTTGATTAACATCGTAAAGCCTTTTTCACATAAAAATTCACATATTTTAGTGGATTCTTGAATTTCCTAAACAAAATTTTAACTATTTATTTTATAATCAAACAGGAAATAGTCAACACAATTATCATAATCAAAACAAAACAAAAAGTTAAAACGGGGAAACAAAAGTTGATAATTTTTTTCTGACGGATGAAAAATCTCCTTAATTAAACTCAATCTCTTTGCTGCGACGATTCGCACGATTGACTTTCCATCTAAATGTACTTATGTTATGAAATGCAAGAATGCAAGTTGTGTCATCTTAAAAATTCATTATTTTCTTGATTTCTTTTGACTTGCCTTTAATTTCTTTGGAGTCTTTAATATTCTTCTAACTTACTATATTTATCTTTTTACTTTGGTGAGTCTCAATTTAATCTTAACAATATGCATTAATAAGCATCAACATTTCCAATGAATGTATGATTTAATTTTAAATTCACATTTTTAATAGGAAAATTAAGCAATAAAAATTAATATTTTAAATCACGTTTAAACAAATTTAATTACGATAATTATTATTTATTATAATTATATAATTTAAGTTGGAAACAATAAAACTTTAATCAGAAAACTGTTGTATAAAATACTTTAGTTTTGCTAACTAATTATCTTAAGAATAACAAAGAATTGATATATAATAATTTTCTATAAAAAGTACGTCAACGATATATTAATAATACTATATATTACAAACTAATGATTAGCAAAATTGAAAATATCATTTCTTGTGTGTCTATGATGATATGGAGTAAAAATATTAATTAGTTTAAATTACTTAAATTAAGTATTAAATGATTTTATATGATAAAATAATATTAAAATTGAATAAATAAATTTGCGCGTATCATTAGAAAAAGAAACACCCACTCGAAACGCGCCTGTTATTTATTTGCATGAACAGAGCATAATATAAAGCAACCCAACCCGTTCGACTTGGTCACATTCAAACTGCCTCAGACTCACTCACTCACTCTCTTCTCTTTCTCTATTGCATTCCATGGAAGACTTCTTCGCTCTAATTTGCCCTAATTCTCCATTCGTACGTGTCTCTTCCCTTATCCAATCCTTTTCTTCGTTTTTAACATTTTTCACGCTAAATATTTCTATAATTTTGATCCACCTCCACCATTTTACTTGTCAAATCTTTTTCAATTCAAGGAACTGTAATTCTTTATTGCATGAAGACTCTCAAACTCCATTTCTCGTGAAAATCTTGATCATACTCGTCAGATTCTGTTTGCTAATAAATTCTTGGCCTGTGGCTTCATTAATGAGTACAGGAACGTTATTGGAGTTTTGAGATCATATAATTCAAAATCTGTTTCTGCTCTTCAATTGACTTCAAGATTAACTATGTTTTGGTGACACTGCCACCAGAGCTACTAACAGTTATTTTTTGCATTGTTGTTTACACATTAAAGATCAACACGATGCATTGCACTCTCATTTTTTTTTCCCGGTTTACAGGTATGGAATGGGGAGAGATTCTCAGAGTGTTTTGAAGACATATATCCTTATTCTTTTTGAGGTTTTAGCTTTCACTTTGTGCACTGATTATATATATGAATTGATTTTCCTTAATAATTCCCTACTGTGTTAGGTTTTGCAATCAACATAGTAACTGTTGTTATGATTGTTTTGCTTGGATTTAATCAGAAGATTGATCAAAGAGTTCGGAGATCAGATGCCCAGGTACCAGTTGATCTTAAAGGTTTTTGAGAAGGCACTAGAAAACACCAAAGAAATATGTCAAAAATCTATAAACTGCTACTGGCCAGTGTATTCTGTTTACACAACACTTATTTGCGAGCCTTCTGTTATCCTGTAATGTTTCTCTGTAAGGTGTTCTCTGCAGATCATGAATTGTCCATTAATTGTCAAGATTTTGAAATTATCTGAATCACCAGGAAAGAGTTATCATTACTCCCGCATATGGTCTCTGTATTACAGTATATACCTGAGATAAATGTGTTCATATTTGATGCTTTTGCAATGTATAAACAGACGACCCTTCCAGAAAAATTTGTCCTGGATTTTATACCAGCTGTTGGAGCATGCCTTTCAATCATAAACATAATTTTCTTGTGGAAGAAAGAACACAATAGTCACTTTGATGGATATCACAAATGGTTTTATAGCTGTTCTGAGTTGATGGTGTGGGTAAGTTTCCTGATTTTTAGCTGTCAGCTACAACATTCTGTAGAGTTTAATGCATTTGATTGCTTGTGGACTAAGTATTTGCACTCATACTATGTGTAGATTAACACCATTCTCTTCGCAAAGTGTGTCAGCAGTCAATTCATTGTCTTCAACCGTGTCTTATGTTTCTGGTGGATTCTGAAAGCCGTACTGGCTGTTTTCTATTTGATTACAAAGTTTCCATCATTGGAGGTGCTATTATTTTCTGGCTTAGATTTTTTCTTTTTTTAAGTTGGGCATGTCAAGTTTACCTTTAATACTAATAATGTTTATTCATTTTCAAATAAGTTGCATATCTGTCATTTAAATGTGAAAGATTGGCATAATTTTTGTTGTAGGTTTCAATATGCATCATGGAAAGCTTAGTTGTTCTCTTGAATATTTCATTTGGAATAGCTATCAATGTGATCAGGATAAAGAGACCATCTTTCAAAAGCAGGTATATACTGGCATGTTATTCTTACATAGTCACTCTCTTAAATTAGTAATAAGTATTAAGCATTAGATAAAATTTTAGAAGGTAGTAGAACTGATCATCTTTCTCTCTCACACACGCATTACTTAAACCCATTTACTTGGCCTTTAAAAAGTTGGCCATGCTTGATTCCTAAATATCCTTGGTTATATTATATAGGATGCATTACATGCCATGCTGCTTATCACTTATTCAAAATGAGTTGATTTGATTGTAGTAGCAAGCATAGTGCATTTATTTAATAGTATATATAGAAAAAAATTACATTTTATTTCTTGACTGAATCTGCTGTCATAATTTTAGTTTATTGGAAGATCCACTTCTTTCAAATGGTGTAGACCTTGAGGAAGGTGGCTATCATGACCTTGTAAGTATATGTTGTTAAACATAATTCTCTTCTCATAATTCTCTTCTTAGACTCTTGTTTTACTCTCTTAAAATAATACGTTTCCATTATGTATGGGATGAAGTCTAAACTATAACATCTGAATTTTAATACATTTTAAAATAATTTCAACTTTGACAGTCAACATCCTTTAACTTTGAAAATTGTGTCAATAGTTACTTTATGCTCAAAGAAATTTGTAACTTTAGAAATGTTGTTTCCTTAAGTGTTTGGGGATCAGTTTATGGATTGAGAATTTAATCTTTTTACTTAAGAGTGGCTGAAGATACATTAACTAAAAAATGGATAACAAAGAGTTAACTTAAGCATTTTGCAAACTTGGTGGTTGTTAAGCATTTTTGCTTGAGTTATTTTTTTCCCCCTGTAGAATGTTATCTTGGTGAAGTTATTTAAAGTGTTCCCAATCATATTCTTCTTTTAAAATGCAGCTCTATTTTCTTTTTCCTTTTCATTTGTTCACTGCATCCCTTCTTTGAATCTTTGACTCAGTATGATATTTATGTACATAAAATAAGTTGCCCTTCACAACTATTTTCATCTTGAACATAATTATAGCCTTGTCCGTTGATGTCATTTCTTGTGTCTGGTGTCACCTCCGAAAATAATTTGAAAGCAAGAGTGTGGAGTGTATTTCTTGTTCTTGGCAATCCGCACAAGGCTTTTCCCCACTAGAATAACATGATTTTAACGATTTAATAATTCTTTTATGGATAATTACATGTTTGGCTTATTTTTGAAAGAAACTATACTCTTTTCATGTTGTTTTATCATCATCTCTGTTATATTTATTTCCAATTACTGAGATCGGTATGCTTTTTACTAGTTGACTCTTTTAAACTTACTTTCTAAAGGGAAATAATGGGAGCTTTTGGGATTTGATGACTTTCAAATTCATAACACCAGTAATGAATCATGGTGTGTTAAAGCAATTAGACTCTGAAGATCTGTTGCTGCTACCTGATGATTTGGGTCCTTCCTCCTGTCATGAAGTGATTTTGTCCTGCTGGGAAGCTCAACTGAGTAACAATGGTTCTAGCCCATCTTTGTTTAGAGCACTCTGTAGTGCATATGGATGGCCATACCTCCGCCTGGGTTTATTGAAGGTATTTTTCTATACCAAATCATGGTTTCCTCCCCTGTGCTGGATAAATCTAAGTTGATGCAAACCAAAGCTTGTGTATTACTCTTTATATACAACATTTATTCCATGTTTAAGCTGATATGGACTGGTGGTATTTAATTCTTCTAACTAATAACTTCTTCAAGACTTTTGAACTTTCAAATTCCAACATGGGTTCCTGACTATTTTCATGGATATGGAAATTCTAGTCTTTTAACTGGAAATGAAAGGAAATTTAATCCCTGTTCAGTAAGTTTATGTCTACAGAAGATGCTTTTTGTGTTGTACTGTAGATTGGTTTAAGTAATGTTGTGATTCAGGAATTGTGTGTATTGTTGTACACACACCAATCTTATTTATAGAGAGAATACAATAAATGATAAAGATACTAATTTCTAATATTATGGAAACTAATATAATCATATCCTTAATTAATAGTGAGGATAATAACCATAATATCTGTATCAACAATATCTGTAATATATCCACAATATCTGTAACACTCCCCCTCAAGCTGGAGCATATATGTCATATGCACCAAGCTTGTTACAAATGTAATCAACCCAAGGCCCTTTAAGTGATTTTGTGAACACATCTGCTAACTGGTCACTAGAGCGACGAATTTAGTGGTGATCTCTCTTGAGAGCACTTTCTCTCTTACAAAATGACAATCTATTTCTATGTGCTTAGTCCGCTCATGGAAGTTGAACGGCAGCGGCGAGCGGCGGTCGACGGCGCAACGACCGGAGGTGGCGGTGCGGCGATCAGAGGTGGCGGTCAGCGGTGTGGCAACCAGAGGCAACGGTTGGCGGCGCGGCGACCGGAGGCCGCGGCTGCCGGCACGGTGGCCGAAGGTGGCAGCGAGAGCCTTTGCAAGAAGAGAGAAAAAATATATTCTAAAAGAAAAACCTAAGCTCTAGATACCATGTTGTGATTCAGGAATTGTGTGTATTGTTGTACACACACCAATTTTATTTATAGAGAGAATACAATAAATGATAAAGATGCTAATCTCTAATATTATGGAAACTAATCTAATCATATCCCTAACTGATAGTGATATCCCTAATTGATAGTGAGGATAATAACCATAATATCTATATCAACAATATCTGTAATATATCCACAATATTTGTAACAAGTAACAACTAACGAGCAATGGTGGTCAGACATACTGATAGTTGCTAACTTCTGTGGTAGATCATAGATATTTTTTGTGCCTAGTAATTCCAGCTATGCTGATGGAATATATATCAATAGCATGACAGGTTTCATGACATACATATTTTACATGTATTTACTATTTAGACATCTTTATTGTAAAGCGATGATTTTTATCAACTTCCAGATAAGCAGTGAGAATTTATTTATAGGAGCTAAATTTTTTATCATGTCAATTAAAAATATGGACATCAATCTTAATGGTGTTGTCACCTTGACAGATGCCATAAATACTCTATATTAGTTTTCAAGGGAGAAAACAGGATGTTTCCAAATGATATTGAGTCCTTATCCTGCTCTTGTATGTATTGAGATGTTTTTATAAAGTGAGAAATACTGCAACACATTTTCTAACATTCTTCTGAACACACACTTCAATTGGCTAAAATTTATTGGAAATCCCAATTTTTGTGGGTCTTCTCTTATTTAATGAGTCTCTCTCTTATTTTTTTAATTTTCAATAAATTTTAACCAATAGCTGTGTGTGTTAGAAAGAGTATGTTGTAGAGAGTGTATTGATACTACTCCTCTTTATGAAGTATATCTATGTCATCATTAAAATACCACTTTTTTTGCCCATAAATAAAATAAACCAAAATTTTAATCTAACTATGCTTTATTTTATTATATTTTGTATTCTACATCTACAAAGTGTTTGAAATTCTTCCAGGTGATTAATGATTGTATTGGTTTTGCGGGACCATTGCTTCTCAATAAGCTGATCCAGTTTCTTCAGCAAGGTGTTGCAACAAGGAATAGTTTGTGTTTATCTGTTGTTGATCATTAAAAGTTTGGCTTGCTCCTAATGCTTTATTTATTCTCTTACTTAAAAAGCTTCTCCATTATTCTATCCCCTTTGTGCACAGTACTTTTATTTTACTATCCTTGATACATAACTGCATTTTCCACATGAAAAGTTCCAAACATCTACTTGTCAAATATATCCTATAAACATGATTACAGTGATGGTAATGTCATTCCTTTTTTTTTTCCGCTAAAAATTACCTTCTATCTGCATTTCAATCAATTAGGACAAGAAAAGAAACCTCCATAATAATTTTATTATGTCTTTCAGGTTCAGTGAATTTGGACGGGTATTTACTTGCATTATCCTTGGGACTCACCTCTATAATTAAGTAAGTTTGATTCTTGTAATTGTATACTCATTGTGTTTTTCCTATTTTTTGTTTCTTCTCATGCTTTATGTTTCTAGGGTTTGCTCTACTTTCCTTCCTTGTTACTGTTTTGATTTATCACACATAAGATTTATGGATAAATAAACATATTTATGGTTGATTTGTTCACTACTCATTCAAAAGATGCATGCTAATATTGTTGATAAATAAATGTTATAAAATGTATGAAACAAAACTGTATAGATTAACTTCTCAGTTCTCACCATTCAACCATTTTTCATTTGATATAATGGCTACATAATTGCATAATAACATGAAATTAAGAAAGAGTGAGAAATGAGAACCTAAGAAAAAAAAATCATTATCTTTTTCAACAGGAAAAGAAATTATATGTGTTTTTGAGATATAAAATATTCATAGGCATCCACATAAACAACTTGAGCTTCTAAGATAGCAGGTAGGTAAGAGAAGAATGCAAATTATGGGAGCAAAAGTTAGCCTCCAAACATATAAACTGAAAGAAACAGAGAGACAATGTAGGTAAATGCAACAAATTTGTTCACACTCTGCAATTCAGAAATTGGAATCCCCCCTTAAAGCAACCATGTGCGGCAAAGAGAAAGGATTGTTTTAGTGAACCTTTGGACATGTCTTAGTTTCATTTTCTTGTATCACACAATATTATTATGTTGCATATTATGGGAGCAAAAGCTAGCCTCTAAACATATAAACCGAAAGAAACAGAGAGACAATGTAGGTAAACGCAACAAATCTGTCCACTCTCTGCAATTCAGAAATTGGAATCCCCCCTTAAAGCAACCATGTGCGGCGGCAAAGAGAAAGGATTATTTTAGTGAACCTCTGAACATGTCTTAATTGCATTTTCTTGTTTCACATGATATTATTATGTTGCATTCTCTCTGACTTTGAGCAACATATATTTAATCTTTATGGATGTATAACTTCTATGGTATTTTTTGCTTTATTTACCAGTAACAATTAGTAAAATAGTGTCTTTCTGGTCTAGATCTTTTTTAGATACACAATATACTTTTCATCTTTCCAAACTGAAGCTGAAGCTGCGATCTAGTATCATGACTCTAATCTATGAGAAGGTATGCTATTTTTATTTTATTTGTTTGTGAATGCTGAAATTATAGATTTTCATAATAATGAAATGCTCATACTCTTCTTATTTACTCTCCTAATGTTGTAACTGATGCACGCATGGCTTTCGATAGTGTAGCTCATGATCACAGTTTCATACTAAAATGTACACATTGTTTCATGTATTTGAAGTGTCTACATGTGAACTTAGCAGAGCGTTCAAAATTCACAAATGGCGAAATTCAGACATTTATGTCTGTGGATGCTGATCGAACTGTCAACTTGTGTAATAGTTTCCATGATATGTGGAGGTATTCCCTAAATTTTAATTTCTTATGCCAAGACATTTTACCAAACTATTTTTTTTTCTTTATCTCTTTGAATATCTGTAGTCCAAGAGACTTATCACTTATAAAATACCCTTAGAGTATGTTTGGATGGAGTAATTTATTTTTTTGAAGAACCTTAAAGAGTTTGAAATCCAAGCATTTGTGAAATTTCTTATAATGGTAGAATTTCAAATTCTTCCAAAAAAAAGTAAGAATTTCAAATTCTTTATATTTTTTCTTTATTATCTCACCTATATATCTTTTATCTATCTCCTATCTCTTATGTTTCCTTTTGCCTCTCTCTCTTCCATCTCCCGTACTCTATTCTCTCTCTTTCTCTCTCTCCTTTGCTCTCTCTCTCTTTCCTTTTTTTTCTCTCTATTTCTTTTCTTAATTATTGAATATTCAAAAATATCAATAATTTTTTTAATTATTGAATATAAAAAAATATTTTTAATTATTAAATATTTTCTAATATTAATTTTTAAAACTATTAAATATTTAAAATTTGAATAATATTTATTTCTATAAATTTTAATCTTAAAATCTCAATATATATATATATATATCAATTTTAATCATGGTGGAAATCAAATGACCATCCATACTAAGAATTTAAAATTTAAGAAATTTGAATTGACTTATCCAAACAAAACATTTAAAAAATGATGAAAATTTAAATTAAAATAATTCAAATTCTAAGAATTTCAAATTTCTTGAATTTCTAAAATTCCTCATCCAAACACACCATTATTTTCTATCTTAGTAGGAATAAAATTCACAGGTGTTCAATAAAATTTCCATGTATTAATTATTCTGTTGGTTAAAGATATGATATGTATTTAACCTACTGAGGTTTAAAGTTTGCATCAGATATGTCATAGAATTTATATGAATGTTTGATAGAATTTACGGGTAGTTGTATGTGATAAGATTGGGTTTTGCATCAGATATATTTGATAGAATTTATACCAACTAGAAGCCATATTGTGTAGCTTATATTTGATATCAAATCATGATAGTTAACATTTAATAATGTAATTTATATAGATTACAGCCTGCCTTTACATTTAATAATGATAGTTAACATTTAACTATAAGTGTGGTTTTTATTGTTTCAGCCTGCCTTTACAAATTGGAGTGGCGCTTTATCTTTTGTATACTCAAGTCAAATTTGCGTTTGTATCCGGATTAGCAATAACCATTTTATTGATACCAGGTAGAAATATCACTCTTGCAAAAAAATTAGTGACAGAAAACCACACTTGTATATTTCAATTCAATACATGTTTAATTTGTTTTTCACCTACTTGAATTCATTAAGAATGTGAGCTGGAATGAATTTTCAGAGAAGTTCAAACTGCATCTATAACTGATTTTGTTTCCTAAATCATAACACTAAATGTTTTTTAATTATTATCAATAACTGAATTCAAAGAGAAATTTATCAATAATGCTTGTTCTATAGAAATGAAAATTTCGTGGCAGGCAAGATATCTGTTCTGTTCATTTTCATGGTTTGAAAATTTCTTGTGATTGGCCATGCTAACATGATCCTTTGTAGAATTATATAGTGTAATTTTGGCCATATATTAGATTTCTATAGAAATGGAATGTGCCTAACTCAACCCCAAATGCTTGCTCAAAGGGGCAAGGATTGTTTACGCCCTATAAAGAGTATTCTGACTATATTCTCAACCCCAAATGCAATGCAGTGAATAAATGGATATCAACATTGATTGCAAGTGCTACTGAGCAAATGATGAAGGAGAAAGATGAAAGGTAATCATAAAACAATTGCCTTCTTTATTCTTTTTTGTAAGTAATAAAATGTTTTTATTTGTCCTTTGGAGAAAGTATAAATGAGAAGACAGAATATGAGGAATTATTTCTCATTGATTGTAATTCTCTGTACATACAAATTTTTGTACAAATTTTATAACCAAGTTTGAGGTACAAAAAGGGAAATAAATCTCCCTTATAAAGACAGAAACAATGAAAGAAATAAGGCTAAATTTCATTTTTAGTTTCTTTATTTTTGTCAATCTGTAATTTTGGTCCTATTTTAAAATAAGAACATTTAGTCCTCCTATTTTTAAAAATATGGAATTTTGGTCCTACTATCAGTTTGATATTCGTTGATCATGAAATTTTGATGTTGTCTGGTGACCTACCATCACCTAAGTATGTGATATTTAGTGACATGAAATATAGGAGTAAAAATTAAAAATAACATACAAAAGATCTTTATTTGTATCTATTTTAACAAGTAATAAGTATTTATTTTACCAGTAAATCTTATTTGCATGGCTTTTTTTAGTTTTTTTTTTCTTGAAATGTTATGTTACTAAATGTCACATCATTTAAGTATAAGTAAATCTTAAAAGTTAATGATTAATAAAAGTCAATTTGATGAGAGGATCAAAATTTCATATTTTAAAAATTAGAGAGATTAAATATCACTATTTTAAAATAAAGAGACTGAAATAGCATAAAGACTAATTCTTACCTAATTTGCATGTTCCACAAGTCATTCACTATCCGAAAGTAGTACAACATTAAATGCATAATTATACTGATAAAAGATATTAGGATATCCTACAGAATCTGGGTAATTCCCAAATATCTTCCAATAAAGTATTTTCCTTTTGCATTTAAGAGGATCCCATATCCTCCAAACTCTTTGTAGTTGTATTCTATTTGTCTTAATGAAATTCCTCTTGTATCCAAAAAAAATACAAATAAAAATTGTTGAGAACACCTATTATTGGCATCTTATTTGGTTCTAATTTACCATTGTCGAAGATGAGCATACTTCGACTTTCGTATTTCCATCTCATATTTGGTTAGCTCAACTCCCTAGAATGTTGCAAGTTTTGTGTGGTTTACATTGTTGTTTCTTTTCAAATTATATATTATACATGCAATTATAATTTTTCCATAAAAGATATTATACTTGCAGAGGACACCTAAAAGCAACACATGATATGCTGCTTAAAAGTTGGTTAACTCCTGAAGTTGTGACACAATGTTAAAAAAGCAATTTAAGTTAATATATCTCCGGTGAACATGTAATAATTTGCAAGACATATGCTGCTATGCATAAAATACTAATCTCTGTAAAATTATTTCTTTGCTTTGGAGAAATTTTCTGGTTCAGTGAATGATTGGAGTTTTCTAAAATGTAACGTGTGTTGGCTGTGAAGCAATTCATACTTTAAAGGACATGATGCAATTTTTTCCCAGTAATTACTTATTTTGAAATTTGATGTTCTCATTATTTGGTGCTCAGGATTAACAGCTTATTATTCTTTTCCTAATTTTCTGTTTTAGTTATATCACTAGTTGATGTGTGATCTTCAAATATGAATAAAAGCTGCTGGTGCGCATTTATGATATTAAAATATATGCTTCTTACAGAATTCGTAGGACCGGTGAACTTTTGACTTATATTCGCACTTTGAAGATGTACGGATGGGAACTTCTTTTTTCTAGTTGGTTGATGAATACAAGATCTTTGGAAATCAAACACTTAGCTGTAAGACTTTATATTCTGATTTTATTTAGTTACAGATAAAACTGTAAAACTTCTCCTAAAACCTACTGAGGATGTATACAAGAATGGCAAAATCAAATGAATTACTTTCTTTTTGTTCTAATTTAATTTTGACCATCACGTTTCATCCATTTTTATAGACTCGGAAGTACTTGGATGCATGGTGTGTTTTCTTTTGGGCTACAACGCCAACACTCTTTTCTCTTTTTACATTTGGACTCTTTGCATTGATGGGACATCAACTAGATGCAGCAATGGTATTTTCTAATTTGTTTAACCTATAGTCTTACTGACAATTTTTTAAAATTTATTTTGCACCTAATTATTTTCTGTCATTCTTAAGAAATTCGATGCAGTAAAAAAATATTAATTGCAGGTTTTCACTTGTCTTGCTTTGTTTAACACACTGATTTCACCACTAAACTCATTCCCTTGGGTAATTAATGGATTGATTGATGTGAGTCTCCTCTATTCCATGAATTTTTGCAAACAAATTTGATTTGTATACATTTTAGAATAAAAAATTTCTTTTTAACTTATTATAGGCCATCATATCCTCCAGACGTTTGAGTAGGTTTCTCTCTTGTCCTGAACATAAATTTAAAGTGGGAGAGACAAATTCCTGTCCACCATTCCCGAGTAAACAGCCTGATTCTGTACAAGGTCTGGCTGTCTTTATTCAAGATGCAAGTTGTACTTGGTCAAGCAGTGAGGAACAAGCATTAAATTCAGTGTTGGATCATGTAACTCTAAGCGTGTCCCAGGGTTGCTTTGTTGCAGTCATTGGAGAGGTCAGACCACTGTTTGATTTTAACCAAGATGTCTTTAGCAAATAAAGTAAAATCAACATCTTATATGGTAAAGTAATTTTAATGGATATACACCCATCATATTTTTGACATCACAGGTTGTTAAAAAAGGATATTTGGCATCACTAGTTTAAAATATATATGTCATGGTTCCACTCGCTTTGTCTTGTATATCTGTCAAGATCATTAGCATTTTTCAATTTCACAAATTCAATTTGATAAAAGAAACTACTACTAATATCTAAGCACAACCTTGGTTATATTTATTTTCACTTCATCAACTGCATATATTCAGGTTGGTTCGGGTAAATCATCCCTGTTATATTCAGTTCTTGGAGAAATGCGGCTTGCTCGTGGATCTATCTATTCCAAAGAATCCATTGCTTATGTACCACAGGTTTGTATGCGATAATGTCACATCTTTAGTCTTAAAATGAAATTTCTTGAGTCTTTGTTTCCTGAAACTGCAGGTCCCTTGGATTTTATCTGGAACGGTACGTGACAACATATTATTTGGGAAAAGCTATGATACTGAAAGGTATAATGCCAATAGGAAAGTTTTTTCTTCAATTTTTATTTGATTGAAACCTAGACCTGCTCAGTGACCTTTAGCGCTTTACAAACATGTTTTGAACCAAAAGAACTAATGCTATTCGAATCTTTTCCCTGCTATAAACAGGTATACTGATACACTGCAGGCATGTGCATTAGATGTTGATGTCTCACTGATGGTTGGAGGTGACATGGCTTATATAGGAGAGAAAGGAGTCAACTTATCAGGTGGACAGAGAGCTCGTCTTGCTTTGGCAAGGTTCTAGCTTCCTATTTTCTTTCACTCTAATAGTATTTGGGGTTTTTATGTCCTGATTATTTATCAAAGAAAAGTGTTTTCATACTGTTCAATTATTAGGGCACTGTATCATGACTCGGATGTTGTTATGCTTGACGATGTCCTGAGTGCAGTTGATGTACAAGTTGCTCAATGCATCTTACACAATGCCATTCTAGGTCCTCTTATGCAAAGAAAAACTCGATTGCTCTGTACCCACAACATTCAGGTTGTTGCGTACTCTCTTCACAACTATTATTCATTATCATAAATTACATTGTTTTTGTCAAGCATTCTGATTAAAATCAGATGAGCATGATGTTATCACTGACATTTTCAGCTATACTTGATCAAAATATTTTTCAGAAGATATGTATTATATATTTTGTATTTCTATAAAATGTGAACTTATATAAGGATTAACTTGTTGATGTATCTAAATTTATATGCAGGCAATATCTTCTGCTGATATGATTGTTGTTATGGACAAAGGACACATAAAGTGGATGGGAAGATCAACTGACTTTCCATTTTCTTCATATACAGCATTCTCTCCATTGAATGAAATTGATTCAGCTTTACAGAATCATAGACAATCTTGCAGCACAAGTCTTTCTTCCAAATCCACGGAGCAGTCTCTTCCTGATACAGTTATTATGCATTCTTTGGAGGGATCAGAGGAGATAGTTGAAGTTGAGTTGAGGAAAGAGGGAAAAGTTGAACTTGGAGTGTATAAGTAAGTATAAACATACACATTGTTGATATCATAGATGTATGGGGAGCTTATGTTCTCACTCATCTTAGAAGTTGGTCTAAGGACTTAACAAAATCAGTTTATAAGGTGAAGACTGTCCAAGTTTTATTTAAGCCATATCTCTCTTTGATGTGGGATTAAACCACTACCCTTGGGCTAGGGGTGACCACAATTAAGGAGGTTTTCCATCACTCCCCTTCATGCCTTGGACTCCTAGCTTGGAGCATGGAAGGTGCAGGTGATCTAACAATAGATCTAGGGTAAGTTCTAATATCATCTTAGAATTTGGCTTGGAGACACTAACTCAATCCTATAAAACTGATTTGGATGGTTAATGTGGGACTTTTATCAGCTTTATTTAAAATATATATCTAGCCAATGTACTTTTGAGGTTGCAATTAAGGCAACCCCCAAAGAGGGGTTGCAAATAAGGTGGGCTTGGGGTGACCACAATTAAGGCAACTTTTCAACACTCCCCCTCATGCCCAAGATTCATGACCCTGGAAAGTGGCAAATGAAGGTGGTCCAACAATGGATCTATCTATCTTAGAATTTGGCCTTAGGGCTTAACTCAAGTTCACAAAATCGATTTGTAAGGTGATGAGTGCTCAAGCTTTGTAAGCTTTACTTATTGAGGCTGCAATTAAGGCAGCCCCCAAAGAAGCCACAACTAAGGCAGGCTAGGGGGGACCTCAATTAAAAATGACTTTCCATCAACTTGTCAATTTGTAGACAAGTTTCTGGGATCATGAATGGTTGGTTAACAATTTATTGCCTTTTGCAGGAATTATGCTGTCTTCACTGGATGGATCATCACAGTCATTATATGCCTATCAGCTATTCTGATGCAAGCTTCTCGTAATGGGAATGATTTATGGCTGTCATATTGGGTTGATACAACAACGAAAAGCAGTCAAACAAGATACTCTGTGTCTTTCTATCTGGTGAGGGGATGATCTATTGTAATAGTTTTCATAGTACATTTTTCTTGATGGACAATTAAATCTTTTGTGGCACAATACGTTGCACAACAAAATACTTTTAATTCAAATTTTGTTTTTATTATAATATCACTATTCTCAAAGTAATGCTAAGAAAGTTTCTTTATCAGAAACTTCAGTTTATAAAGTTTGAATCTGTTGAAGAAAAAAAAGGAAGAAATGGAATCCCCCTTTCACCCGGTAAATATCATGTTGGAGAATGGAGTAGTTGAATGAAACTTGTTGTAATTCATATAATTTCAATATAAAACGTTATTAAAACTTAGCTTCTTAGTTCACTGTTTATAAACCATTTTTAGTAAATTAAAAAAAAAAACCTAATCATTTACCTAGACCATTAGCTACTATTGAGTATTGAATGTGATTTTTCTAATTTGTTTGAGATGATAATTAATGGTGCAGGTTATACTATGTCTCTTTTGTATTATGAATTCTTTTTTCACATTGGTGAGGGCATTCTCTTTTGCATTTGGTGGATTACAAGCAGCAACTAAGGTACACAATAAATTGCTCAACAAACTTATTAATGCACCTGTGCAATTCTTTGATCAGACCCCGGGTGGGAGAATACTGAACAGGTTAGAATAAGATGTCTTCAGGTAATAGCACATTATGATGATATAAAATTTATGCTTCATGATTTATGATTTTTGTGCAGGTTATCTTCGGATCTTTATACAATTGATGATTCTCTTCCATTCATTATGAACATTCTCCTAGCTAATTTTGTAGGCTTGTTGGGTATTGCAATAATTTTGTGTTATGTACAGGTATCCACAATTTTCTTAGTTTGTCATCTTTGTAACTTTGAGATTTGTGTTAACTGTCCCCATGACTAAAATATTTTCATCTCTGTTTTTGATAGGTCTTTTTCTTACTCTTGCTATTACCATTTTGGTACATCTACAGTAGACTTCAGGTATTCTTTTTTCTTATCACCACTTTCTTGTATTTAACCACTCTCCTTGTTTTAAGTTGCAAGTTCTAAAACTATTAGTATTATTTGTTATTATGTTGTATGATTTGGAAATCTTCATAACTATGGAGTATAAAATTGGGGTTTTTACAATACAAATAAATTATATAAGGAATTATTGAGTTTCAAATGTTTAAAACCATTATCACTTCTGTAACTTGGTATGATAGAAAACATTCATCTCATTTATGTTGTGGCTTCAGTTCTTCTATAGGTCAACATCAAGAGAATTACGAAGACTGGACAGTGTTTCTCGATCTCCAATATACACATCATTCACTGAAACTCTTGATGGATCATCGACTATTAGGGCTTTCAAATCAGAGGTAAATATATGTAATTTTGAAGTGATAATCATAAATAGAAAATTTGTCCTAATATCATTTATTTATAGTGTGTAGTAAAATGATAGTATAGAAATCCTATCCCATTACGGCTAGATATTAGGTAATACTAAGAAAATATTAACTTCTCCGCCTTTTCATTCAAAGATGTGTCATAAATACAAAGAGAACTTCAAAAGATGGGATAGTCCTACAGCTAGTGGCACCTGGTAACTCTTTGGCAAACGTACCAATTTGTCAAGTATTTGATAGCAAGTATCATTCCCAGATTTGTGTAATACTTAGCAATACAATCACAAGTTACATATTCAAATGAAAAACTCAAGTGACAAATTGATAGATTTAGGTTCAGTTACAATGATTTGCATAAAAGGAGTTTAAAAGATATTTTTGGTCTTTTCAAATATAGATGAAACAAATGTGAAATGATAAGGATCATGGTGGGTTGGGGTCAGACATCACTATTAGAGAAGAGAATAGGATAATAAACACTTTTATTATTTTCTGTACTATTCAAATGTATTTTCTGTTTTGTATTTGCCAACTCTTCAAGTTGGTTAGTTTTTTAGGCTTGCTAACCCTCGAGTTAGTTAGTCTGTTAGGGCTATATATGTAAGTGATACCTCTCGTGTATCACTTACACGAATATCTTCTCACAAAAGTTCTCTCAATTCTTTCTCTCATATGGTATCAGAGTGAGCACGGTGAGATCTGGTTCTTTTCATTTTTCTGCCCACAACCTCTATCGTGCCTTTCCTTCGCTGTTGCCCGCGCCTCTGTCACGCCTTGCCCTTGCTGTTGCCCGCGCTTTTGGTGCGCGTGCCCTGTGGCTGATTCTTTTTCTCTGTTCTTCGCTTGCGCTCTCTTTGACGTGCGATTCTTTGCCTCTGTTGCTTTTCTTGTTTTTGTTGTGCTCTCTCTTCCTCTTGTTCAAATGGCTTCTGCTTCCGCTACCTCTGACAATTCCGCTTCGCACACATTCTCTCAATCTGTTACGTGCAAATTGGATGAAAAGAATTTCATGACCTGGCAGCAACAGGTCACTGCTGTGATTCACGCTCATGATCTCGAACGGTTTGTTGTTAATCCAAAGATTCCGCTGAAGTTTCTTACTGCTGAGGATCGTGACTCCAACAATATTAACCCTACGTACACGGCCTGGGATCGCAAAGATTCGCTGCTATTTTCTTGACTCTTTACAACACTCTCTGAATCAATCCAGGCTCGTGTCGTCTCCTGCCGCCATTCCTATCAAATTTGGGATCTGGTTTTTCAACACTTTCAGTCCCTCACCAAAATCAAAGCCACACAACTTCGCCTTGAACTTCGCACGATCAAGAAGGGAACTAGGTCGTGCTCTGAATATCTGCTTCGCATTAGCACTATAATTGAAACTCTTGCTTCGATTGGAAACCCTGTTTCACCCCGAGAACATGCTGAGTGCATTATTGGTGGGCTTCCACCTGAATATGACTCGCTGATCTCTACTGTCACTGCCTTTGTCAGTAGAGATGACATCCTTTCTCCTGCAAAACTTGAGACCATGATTCTTGCTCAAGAAGCTCGTCTTGAACAAGCGAAAGCTGCTCTCCTTCAAGAACCTGTAACAATCAACCTTGCGCAAACTGCCTCTGTTCCACATGGGATTCCCAATGTCAATTTAGCCTTTCAACAATCGCAGTTGTCCAATTCTCAGCCCAATATGTTCCAGAATTTTCCAGCTTAGTCTCAAGGTGGTTTCTCCAACTTCTCTGCACAAAATTGTGATGGTGGTCGTGGCCGTCGTGGTGGCCGAAATCGTGGTCTGCCTGTCCAATGCCAAATCTGCCACAGACGTGGACATGAGGCTTCCACGTGTTATCAACGTTCCAGTGGTTTTACTTTAGGCGGTTTTGGAATGCCTTTCAATCCAATGCTTGTCTCTTACCCCACCTTTGGTCTTAACCCTCAACACTCGTATCTGTCTCAAAACTCTGGTCCTGGTTTTGTTTTTCCTCCTAACACTGGCGCGGTTTCTCAATTTGGTTCTGCCAATATGCTTGGTCTTTCAGGACAAGTCTCATGGCCTCCCTATGCCTTAGGTGGCCCCTTTGGGTCTGCTCCTTCTGTTTTTTGCCTTCCACCACCTGGGTTCACCTTCCCTGCCTCACCATCTACCCAGCCAAGTTATTCTGGTGCTGCTTCCTCTGTTCCACATGCTGCACCAACTCTGAATACTGCTACTGTGTGGATTCCCGATTCTGGTGCCTCTCATCATGCCACGCTTGATCCTCAACATCTCCTCCAGAGTGCTCAGTTTATAGGAGCGAGCACATTGTCATGGCCAATGGCCAAGGTACATCTATTGCTTCAATTGGTTCTAATGTTTTTAGGTCCCCTGTTCATCCTTCCACAGTTTTCTCTCTAAAAGATTTATTACTTGTTCTTACTTTAACCAAAAATCTTATCAGTGTCTCTAAGTTTGCCAAAGACAACAATATCTACTTTGTGTTCTATCCTCATTCCTGTTTTGTCAAATCACAGGATTTGAACGAGACTCTTCTTGAAGGAAAACTTGGTGAAGATGGTCTCTATCATTTTCACCCAACGCTTGCAAAAAATGACTTCAACAGTGACGACATACCGAAGCATTTTGCTCCATTTAATTCTGAACCCTGTATTTTTGTTTCTGAACAATGTAAAAATGTTGTTTCCAATACCTATAAACAGTGGCATTTACGATTAGGGCATCCTCATCATGATGCGCTAATCAAAGCTTTACAAACGTGTAATATTCGCATTCCTCATGTTAATAAAGTTTCTGACTTTTGTGATTCATGTTGTGTTGCTAAATCTCACAAACTTCCTTCTAAATCCTCCACCACTGTTTATTCTAAACCTCTTGAACTTGTTTTTCTTGATATTTGGGGACCTGCTTCATTAGATTCCAGTTGTGGTTATTTGTGCTTTTTAACATGCGTTGATGCTTGTACTAGATATATGTGGATTTATCTCCTTCGTAGAAAGTCAGATGTTCTTTCTCACTTTCTGAATTTCAAGGCACTTGCTGAAAAACAGTTTCAAACCCCACTCAAGGCAGTTCAAACTGATGGTGGTGGTGAGTTTTGCTCCTTAGTTTCGTTTCTTCAACAAGAAGGCATCATTCACCGACTCACCTGTCCTTATACTCATCATCAAAATGGCATGGTTGAAAGGTGTCACAAACATATTGTTGAACTTGGCTTGGCCATGCTTCACCATGCATCATTACCACTCAAATTCTAGGGTCATGCCTTCTTGACTGCCACCTACCTCATTAATAGGCTCCCTTCATCCATTGGTCATCAATCACCCTACAAGCTGATTCATCACAGGGAACTTGACTATCAATTTCTCAAAGTATTTGGTTGTTCCTGTTTTCCATTACTCAGACCCTACAATCAACATAAAATTCAACCCCAGTCAGAGGAGTGCCTCTTTTTGGGCTACTCACCTACTCATAAAGGCTACAAATGTTTAAGCAAGTCTGGCCGAATTTATATCAGCAAGGATGTCATTTTCAATGAAGGAAGATTTCCCTATAATGATCTTTTTCTCTCCAAATCCATTCCCTCTATCCCTGCCACCTCTGTCTCTACCATTCCCTCTCTTGTTACCTCTCACAATTTCTCATCCTCAACCTGATCCCTCTTTGAGTTTTGCTTCCTCAAAATTTAGTCTCCCACACTCTGATTCTCCATCTGCTGAACGCCTCATTACTTCTCCTGTCTCATCTTCAAGTCCCTCATTTACTGCTGTTGACTCTTCTTCGGCTTTATCCCCTGGCAGACCCCCAATACTCATCCAATGACCACTCGTTCCAAAAATGGCATTGTTCAACCCAGAATTCATTCCACACTCCTATTTTCTCATGTTGTGCCTAAGACAGTTAAAACTGCTTTAGCTGATCCTAATTGGCTTGTTGCCATGCAAGCTGAAATCAAAGCTTTACATGACAACAACACCTGGAAATTAGTTGCCCTGCCCTCTGGCAGAAAACCCATTGGATGCAAATGGGTTTTTCGTGTCAAGGAAAATCCTGATGGCTCCATTAATAAATACAAGGCTTGGCTTGTTGCCAAGGGTTTTCATCAACAACCTGGTCTAGATTTTTCTGAAACCTTCTCTCCTGTTGTCAAACATGTCACCATCCGAATTGTTCTATCTCTTGCTGTCTCTTTTCGATGGCCTCTTCGACAGCTTGATATTAATAATGTCTTTCTCAATGGCATGCTTGAATAAGACATCTACATGTCTCAGCCTCCTGGTTTTGTTGATCCTGCCAACAAACACCTTGTCTGCAAGCTGCACAAATCTCTTTATGGCTTGAAACAGGCTCCCCGTGCCTGGTTTGACAAACTAACATCTGTATTACTCATGCTTGGGTTCAGCAAAAGCAAGTGTGATCCTAGTTTTTTTATCTTCTCTACATCCGCTGCCACCGTCTTCATGCTTGTCTATGTCGATGATATTATTCTCATTGGGAATTCTCCTTCCTTGCTGCAAAAATTCATTACTCAACTTAATGAAATTTTCTCTCTTAAAGACCTTGGTACCTTGGATTATTTCTTAGGTATTGAAGTCAAGTTCCTCTCTCAAGGGAAGTTGATGCTTTCCCAAGACAAGTACATTATTGATCTTCTTACTAGGGTCAAAATGGAAGATTCCAAGGGCATCTCCACTCGTATGATTGGCAGCCAGCAGCTTGCTAAAGATGGTACTCTCTTTGATGACCCTACCTTATACAGGTCTGTAGTTGGTGCATTGCAATATGCCACAATTACTCGTCCTGAGATTGCCATTAGTGTTAATAAAGTAAGTCAATTTATGTGCTCTCCCATGGAAGAACATTGGAAAGTTGTTAAAAGAATACTTAGGTACCTAAAAGGAACTATCGGACATGGACTTGTGTTCTCGCCTGCAAAGTATACTGCCTCCTTCAATCTTACTGCCTTCACTGATGCTGATTGGGCATCTGATCCGAATGATCGAAGGTCTACTTCAGCGGCCTGCCTTTATCTTGGTCCTAATCTAGTGTCTTGGTGGTCCAAGAAACAGCTACTTGTTGCAAGATCCAGCATTGAGGCTGAGTATAAAGCTTTGGCTCAAGCAGTAACTGAAGTCTTGTGGATTCAGTCACTTCTAAAGGAATTAAAGGTTCCCCTAAACACTCCTATAGTGCTCTGTGATAATCAAAGCACAGTAGCACTATCTCACAATCATGTTTTACATTCAAGATCTAAGCACATGGAGCTTGATATCTTTTTTGTTCGTGAAAAAGTGCTCAGCAAGTCTCTTGTTGTTTCGCATATTCCTGCTCAACATCAATACGCAGATGTTCTGACCAAGGCCTTGTCGCCTAAGAGATTTTTGTTTCTTTGCTCCAAGCTCAATGTTGTTGATTCATCTACTATGTTTCATCCCCCTTGAGCTTGTGGGGGATGTATTAGAGAAGAGAATAGGATAATAAACACTTTTATTATTTGCTGTACTATTCAAATGTGTTTTCTGTTTTGTATTTGCCAACTCTTCAAGTTGGTTAGTTTTGTAGGCTTGCTAACCCTCGAGGTAGTTAGTCTGTTAGGACTATATATGTAAGTGATACCTCTCGTGTATCACTGTCTTAATTTCTTTAATCAATAATATCTTCTCACAAAAGTTCTCTCAATTCTTTCTCTCATAATCACCAAAATAACATTCTTTTTTCAATAAAAACTTTATTGAAAAAAATCTTTGAGCTTCAAAATCATACCAATTTACAAATACTCTCTTAACCCTAATCCCTTATGTCAAAAGAACATAAGTTGCTTTATTAAATGTCAATCCCTTGAACATTTAACAAAACAACTTGCATTATGTTATTTTAATTAAAAATGATTAGCAAACTATATTCATTCCTGAATAGGGTTCATTAAGAGTTTTATTTCAATTCAAGATTAAGAAAGTAGTTTCCAATCACCACCAAATCATAAATTATGCTATGGATGATCAAGACACGTCAAACATTAAGCATAGTAGTAAAAACACTAGTGTTGAAGTACAAAGACAAATATATTAATCAAAATAAGTACAAGAGAATGAATTTAGTTACATCTAACCCCAACAAGGGAGAATTTAGCTACTCATTTCCATGGGTAGCTGCCAAATACAAAGGAAATTGGAAAAGATGGAAAGCATGAAGATGAAGAGTTTTTCACTCTAGATGTGGCTGAAGACAAATTATTTTACATTTATAATATAATAATAATTATCTTATCAAAATTAAGGAGTATAAAATGGAAGATATTGTATCTTCCTAAAGAAAGCAAATAAAAAGCAACAGAAGATGAACAGGCAGCACATTTTTCCTGTTTTCAATATCTGTTACTGTCAGAGGAAAATATTGCTAGGAACATTGATTGGCACATTCAAACTAGTTTGAAGCTAAGTTATTTTCATCAAGGTTACTTGGACTCTGGAAATACCCAAAGCACTGTCAACTGAACCTCCTTCTGAAGTACTTGTTTAGTTTGGTTTGTTTAACTTGAAATATGTGCTTAGAATGCTTCATTTTACTTTTATGGTGAGACTTGTCAAACCATTAGGGTGACTTTTTTTTGTACCTTTCATGACTTTTTATTGTACTTATTTTTTAAGGTTCTTTTTTCCTCCGGTCTTCTGCAAGCTTTAGCTGCTTGTCATATGTGCCGTGATTTTTATTAGTGAAACTAGTTAACTATAATACAATGGTCATTTTTTGACAGGACTTTTTCTTTGCCAAATTCGCTGAACATATAACCTTGTATCAGAAGACTTCCTACACAGAGATAGTGGCAAGTTTGTGGCTTTCCTTGCGTCTTCAGGTATGTCTTTGAGTCAAGTATATTTATTGAAAATTAAAACTAAGAAAATACAGCAATTCACCTACAAGCCTAAATGTTTACACTATATAAGATTTATTCATGCAACCCTAAAGTATGTCTCAAGATTAGATTTGAATTTGTATTAAATCTGGAATATCAGTTGTTTCTAATGACTTTCTTCCAGTTATTAGCCGCATTTATAATCTCATTCATAGCTGTGATGGCTGTTGTGGGATCTCATGGCAGTCTGCCTGTCAACTTTGCTTCCCCAGGACTGGTTTGTTTGTTATCCTTTTATTAAATTTCTGATTTGATCAACTAATTAATACAAAAATTTGACCATGGAACATTTTTTTTCAACAGGTAGGATTGGCCCTCTCCTATGCAGCTCCAATTGTGTCCCTGTTGGGAAGTTTTTTGTCAAGCTTCACTGAAACAGAAAAGGAAATGGTTTCAGTTGAAAGAGCTCTTCAAGTATGAATAGGATTTACTTCACTTAGTAGAACACATATTTAGATGTATAATACGCAGACACCTAACATTCATTAATGTTTCCTAGTACATGGACATTCCTCAAGAAGAACAAACTGGATGCCTATACTTGAATACAGATTGGCCAAATCAAGGAGTTATCGAATTCCAGTATGTTACTTTGAAATATATGCCATCTTTGCCAGATGCACTACGCAATCTTAGTTTTAGAATTGCTGGAGGAACACAAGTCAGTGCACTTTATTTGAATTTGTACCAAAGTTTTCTTAGATTTAACACCCATCATGTTTAATACTTTTTACATGGCATGTAATCAGGTTGGCATAATTGGAAGAACAGGTGCTGGAAAGTCTAGTGTGTTAAATGCCCTTTTCCGCCTTACCCCAATATGTACAGGCTCCATCACAATTGATGACGTGGATATTAAGAGTATTCCTGTCAGAGAACTACGTACACATTTGGCCGTTGTTCCTCAGAGTCCATTTTTGTTTGAAGGATCATTAAGGTATTCTATAAAAAAATATATTAAAAAAAGTTAATATTTCTGACGTAAAATCTGATTTAGCTCCGTCTCAATGATAATGTTCTTACTTTCTTTTTTAGAAGAAACTGCATAAGCATTTATTTTGATTGCTGAGTGACTGATCTGTAAGACCTTGACTCAGTGGGAGTAGTTTATTTAAAAAATAAAAAATAATTATATATATATATTACATAAAAAAATGAGAGACACTCGTTAGGAATGAAAAGTAATTGAAAAGAGACCAAAACAAAATTTAACAACAATTAAGAAATTAGGTATAGATTCAAATTATAAATTTAGAGGAGCGAAAAACTCATAACTTAAAACACATACGTATTATATCCTTAAAGTCGAGAGGTACAAATGCTCTCTCTCAATACGCAAGCCCGCCACTTATTGCACCTAAATTTCATGTCTACTTATACCCTGTATTTTTTCAATATTCTAGGGATAACCTAGATCCGTTCAAAATGAACGATGACTTAAAAATTTGGAATGCATTGGAGAAATGCCATGTGAAAGAGGAAGTTGAAGAAGCTGGAGGGCTGGATGTTCTTGTAAAGGAATCGGGGATGTCATTTTCAGTTGGCCAGAGGCAGCTTCTTTGCCTTGCACGTGCACTTCTGAAATCTTCGAAGGTAAGAATGATGATGATAATGATGATGTAATAGAAGTGGTCATGCTGTAAAAATTCATCTTTGTTATCTTAAGTAACTACTTCGTTATACGTTTCTAGACATTATTAACGTCAGCATCTCAAGATAATATTACTCGCCTCATCTAAATCTGATCATGAGGGTATTGAAATGTTCCTCTTGTTCTTTTAGGTTCTTTGTTTGGATGAATGCACGGCCAGTGTAGACATTCAAACTGCTTCGCTGCTGCAAAATACCATATCCAGTGAATGCGAAGGAATGACAGTGCTGACAATTGCTCACCGGATTTCAACTGTTATAAATATGGACAGCATTCTGATTCTTGACCATGGGAAGCTGGTATGTTTTATTTTCTTTCACTTTCCAGTTCCCACTTGTCATCCAAATAAATTCATGCACTTATTCTCAGTTAGTATAAATAAATGAAGTTGACAACAAAGAATAACCTTGAGCTAGTTCCTATTCTTATTACAAATGAAATTAAAGAAAATTGGCTCAATTTCATTCCTCTCTTTCTGGACATCATTTCACTTGTTAAGCTAATATATATTCGTAGAACTTCGTACAATTTGGCTGTCATCAATTAAAAGTTATTAACCAACATGAAATAACATGAGCTTTCTCTTTCTCTCTCTCTCTCTCTCTCTCTCTCTCTCTCTCTCTCTCTCTCTCTCTCTCGTCCGCATAGGCTGAACAGGGAAATCCGCAGGTTCTTCTGAAAGATGACACCTCTACATTTTCTAGTTTTGTTAGAGCTTCAGCAATGTAACCAAACCATGCAAGGGACAGTTTGGTTCTCGGCCATTATTTAACATGACACTTCAGCAGACTGCTACATATTGCTAATGTTGCTCAAGTATCACGTTTAGATCAACGCAACTACAAAGTTGTTGTAACAAACAAATTTATTTTTATTTATAAGTTGGTCAAAGCAAACTTATTAGTGCATTCTTACTTCTTAGAGCCTTTGAAAAGGCATATGAAAAACTGTGTTTTTGTAAAATAGAGATTTTTTGCTTTTAATCTTTTGAAAAAAATCATTTTTTTCCTTTTAATTTTTATTTTTTTTCATATTCGTTCATGCCGTTTGATTAGTGAGTTTAGGGTTTTAGAGTTGAAGGATTTGTTAATCTAAACAATATTGTTCTTGTTTTTATCCTCTTAATTTTAGTTATTTTCAATTTAATCCTTTTAAATTTTAGTTGTTTTCGGTCCTATAATTATTGACTTTTCTATTTTAGTCTTTACAATTTTTTGGATTTTCTCATTAGATATAACTATCAATTTGACAATAAAGACGAAAATGAAAATTTTATTTAAAGAGATTGAGTTGAATTTTATTCCAACCAACAATTTATTCATAAACCTTTTATATAAATATATAATAGGTGGGAGTATATTAGCATTCCCATATATATATATATATATATATATATATATCATCTTAATCTCAATAATAAACCACTCTGTTGTACATATGTAAAGTCTAACGTAATGACCTATGTCATCCAATGTATATATTATAATTTTAAATTTTATATTATTAATATTTTAAATATAATTATCAATTATTTTTGGAATTTTATATAAGTACATATTAGTATATATGTTTATAAATATTTTTAAAATTATATATTAACATGGTTATAATTATTGATATATATACTCGTAATATTATATCTACGTATGTACATAAATAATCATTTTTTAATTATGTTCTTTATAAAGACATATTCAGTTGTATGTAGCTTGGTTATATACATAATTTCACTAAAAAAAATAAAATATAATTTACATTATATTTTAAAATTAACAGTTTTTCATATATTTTTTTTAAAATAAGTTTTCATCATAAAAAAAAAGACTAGCATTAATTATATTTAAAAATAAAATGATATTTCTCAGTATTTTAATTTATAGATTGTGATAAAAAATGAATTTTGAATACAAAAATATTAATCTTTGAAAATTATTAATAAGTTATAGATTATGATAAAACTTAACAAATACTATTAAGATGTTAAATGACCCTTCAAAAAAAAAAAGATGTTAAATGACATGAATTTTTGTCTCCTTCAAAGATACTAAGATTAAAATTATTGATAATTAAAGAAAACTATTTTACCATTTGAGAATAATATTTTATTATACTTAGATATAATATTCTAAAAATATTCTAAATTTGAATATGTATAGTTAAATATTTAGTCAAAAAAATATTCTAAATTTGAATATGGATAGTTAAATATTTGTCTGCCTTTATTACAATTTAGTAAAAAAAAATATTCTAAATTTGAATATGTATAGTTAAATATCACTATTTAAAATAAATTAATCCTCAAATTTAGTTTTTTTTTTTTGTTCGTCCCTGGAGTATCCAGGGCCGATAGCAGTGACTACTCTCCTTGTTACGTTGAAGGCACCTCAAAGGGTGGGATAGTTGGCCCCGCTAAATATTAAATCAAGTTTCCAACTACTTTTGAATTAATTTATTTCATTACCACCCTTACTTGGTGTCAATGGATCATATATATATATATATATATCTATAAGATCAAATTACATTTATGTAATTTTTAGTAACTATTCATTGTTTAATATTATTCTCTCTCTTTCTCTCACACACACATTATAGAATAATTATCTACTTTGTAAACATTTTTTTTTACTCTCATATATTCTCTCATTTAAAAATTATTATCTCATAAAGAGGTAAACTTTACTCTCCTAACATGTAATTATTATTTTTTCATGTCAAATGAAAAATATATTATTTTGTAGAGAGTATGTAAATATAAAAAAGAAACATGTATTTTGCTTCAAAATTACAATATTATCCTTCTACATTATTTTTATATTTATTTTAATATTTTTTTATCTCTTTAAATATATTATTTTTATATTCATTTCAATATTTTCAACTATTATTTCTTTAAATATATATTTTCATAATATTTTCATATTTATTTCAATATAATTTTATATCATGATATAAATTACTTTTTTAAAATATAAAAAATAATTTACATATTTTAAACTATTTATTTATTACAAATTTTGATTATAATACAATATATATAATAAAAAATATTTATTTTTTAATAAATTCATTCAATGAGCTAAATATTAAATCAAGTTTCCAACTACTTTTGAATTAATTTATTTCATTACCACCCTTACTTGGTGTCAATGGATCATATATATATATATATATATCTATAAGATCAAATTACATTTATGTAATTTTTAGTAACTATTCATTGTTTAATATTATTCTCTCTCTTTCTCTCACACACACATTATAGAATAATTATCTACTTTGTAAACATTTTTTTTTACTCTCATATATTCTCTCATTTAAAAATTATTATCTCATAAAGAGGTAAACTTTACTCTCCTAACATGTAATTATTATTTTTTCATGTCAAATGAAAAATATATTATTTTGTAGAGAGTATGTAAATATAAAAAAGAAACATGTATTTTGCTTCAAAATTACAATATTATCCTTCTACATTATTTTTATATTTATTTTAATATTTTTTTATCTCTTTAAATATATTATTTTTATATTCATTTCAATATTTTCAACTATTATTTCTTTAAATATATATTTTCATAATATTTTCATATTTATTTCAATATAATTTTATATCATGATATAAATTACTTTTTTAAAATATAAAAAATAATTTACATATTTTAAACTATTTATTTATTACAAATTTTGATTATAATACAATATATATAATAAAAAATATTTATTTTTTAATAAATTGAATCTATTATTTAGTCGAGAGGATATAAATATTAAAAGGAAACATGTATTTTGCCTTAAAAATTAAAATGAATCACATTCAATGAGCTAAATATTAAATCAAGTTTCCAACTACTTTTGAATTAATTTATTTCATTACCACCCTTACTTGGTGTCAATGGATCATATATATATATATATATATCTATAAGATCAAATTACATTTATGTAATTTTTAGTAACTATTCATTGTTTAATATTATTCTCTCTCTTTCTCTCACACTTATCCATTCCCACTTTGTCTGCCCAATTCGAGCCAACACAACGCAACGACCACAACCGTCTAGGCGACAGTTGTTATAAAATACCCATAATTTTTATAAGGATATAATAGTCATTTGGCATATAAATTTTTTTTTAATCGATACCGCGCTACTGACTAGTCCACCATAGGCCATATTCAAAGCTAGAGCACCCTATAATTCATCATAATAATCTTAAGCGTAATAAATGTGTTGTTATAAAATATCATACCTAATCCTATTTTGGACGAGATTTTTAACGTATAAGCTTCCTTTCTTTTGTATATGTAAAAAGATTAACGTAATAACTCATGGCGTGTACGGTTTATGAAATTTTAATTTTTATGTAATTCTCATTTTTTAAAAAAACCTTGTATAAGCAGTGACAGATCCAGAAATTTTAGATAGTAGGGACAATACTTATTCATATATTTGTAGTATTAAAAATTTTACATATAACTTTTAAAAGCATAAATATATATTATAATTATTTTTTACAAGTTTTTATATCTACAATTACAAGTAAAGATGAAAATAAATTAGGTTAGACTAAATTTTATTATAATTTAATAGGTTTGAACCTAACTTTCTTTAAAAATATATATCTTAAATATGACTTATTTATCTATCATAGATATTTTTTAAATGTTTGGTTAAAACTACAATCCTAAAGACCTACTTTATAAAGATTTAACACTATTAAAAATATAAAATAATTAAGTTAAATTTTATAAAAATCAAGTTTAATTTATTTATGATATAAAAATATTTTTAATATCTAATATATATTTTTAGATGATAATTTATTTTAAAATATATTTTATATAACAATTCTAAATGGAACACAAATCTTTCGATTTTCTTATTTTGATTTTTTTAATCAAAATATACAATAACTAGAAAACGCAAAAGATAAACATGCATACTGTAAATTTTATTTTATCAAAAAAAATTTTTTTAATATATTACATTATATATGTGAGTATTAAGATATATATATACATATATATATATGTATGTATGTATATATATATGTATGTATGTATGTATGTATGTATGTATGTATGTATGTATGTATGTATATAATTTAACGTTTTATATTTTTAATTATGTTAGTTGGCCAAATATTTTGATCCTTTTCGTCTAGGAATTCCC